AACACAGGTACGAGTCCTACATCACTTACCTGTTGTCTTAATTACCTGTCTTTCACACCTCTGTTTACCTGAGTCTTAAATGTTCCTACGAATGACATAGGAGAGACAGAGAGACAGACAGACAGATAGACAGACAGACAGACAGAAAAAGAGAAGGAGGGACCTGAACTATAAAACTCCATATATATATAGCAGGTGACATGAGAGGTAAGGGGGCGTGAAGTGAGCAGGGGAACGCACCAGACCTGTCCTTTATCTCCTCAAGTCACGGCTATAAACCGCCAACGCCACACACCGCCTTGGCTATATCGCGTCACTTGCTGGCGTATAAAGGCGGGCGATGGGTGGAGGGGGGTTCCAGGGATGGTTTTAAGGGGTGAGGGTGTTGGGTAGAGGTAAAGAAGAGAGAGAGAGAGAGAGAGAGAGAGAGAGAGAGAGAGAGAGAGAGAGAGAGAGAGATATTGGTAATGATGAAGAATAAGAGACATAACCTAACCCAACCCGACAACGACCCGATCCGACCCAACCTAACCTAATCTAACAGCACTCAACCTGACCTCACCAGACCCCCTCCACAGCTACACTGGTCTTAAACATGAACACCTCTCTACCTGATGTAAATATATGTTAATGATAATCCACTTCTTTAGTCGTCATAACTTAACACGTAGCTTGAGGTACCTCGACACTCTCTACACCTGGTGCTTCTTGGCAGGTAACACACTCTGTCTCTCTCTCTCTCTCTCTCTAAAAGACAAATCCTGACTCACAGATCTATGGTAAGCTCGAACATAGATCCACAAACGTTCGTACGACATATTTCTTCCTTTAACTGTACACATAATTGCTTCACACACTCGTACCAAAAATGCGACGAAAAAACAAATGTCGTCGGATTCACCCAGAGACTCTACCATATATGGAGTTCTTAGTGTATAAAAAAAAAAGAAAAAAAAGAAAAAACAATTAGATAAAGGAACGAAACTTAGAGAAATAAGCTTGACCACAGCTAACCCACAACCATAATACGATAATATGTTACGTTAATGTACGACGGTCGACCCTCCACCACCACAACACAGGATGGTGAGGTACGATAACATCTCGGTCTGTATTTCCCCACGGAAAAAAAACCTCTCCTTAAACTAGTGATTCTAAATGGCAATTAACGTATCTATTTTACCAATAAAGACTCAAAATGGCGTCAAAATAGGTGTAAGACTATTATATCTAGATTTATTGCTTTATCTCCAGTCTTAGGGGATAAACAGCAGTAATTTATGGGTAAATCTGTGAGACTCCACACTTAGGTAATAACCAGGTGCCAGATGTAGGATAATAACGGGGTTGAGCGAGGATGGATGAGTTACTGGAATGTGTAAACAATGTCGTCCAGCCGACGCGTGTTTAATCGTTTACCAGGAATTTGAGATATTTTTTTTTAATTAAATGTGAATAAAGAGGTTTTTTTCGTCTTTGGTTGAAATGTTTTCGTGGTGATAATAAACCTTTGAGGGCGATGGTTTAAGGTTTAAGCCTTCGAGGGATTAAACCATTGCTCTGATAAGGTTAAAGAGTCCTTATTTGCACACGATAATTATACACTACACTTCTCTACTAAAAACAACTACTACCACTACCATCACCACTAGCACCAACTACCATCACCAACACAATAGCATTTCACGATCACTACCATCACCACTATCACCACTACCATCGTTAGCACCACTACCACAACAACGGTTCATCACAATCACTAGCACCACCACCACTAGCACCAATAACACCACTAGCACGCACCACCAGTACCACTAGCACGCACCACAACACTTCTCACTAGTTCTTCCACTACTAAGATTCGGGGACAAGAAAGTGCTTCGCCATCCTTAAGACAGTGAGTAGGGCGGGGTTGTTGTGTTACTGCTGTAAGGTCGTTTGTTCCTGTCTTTAACCATAGTACCGATAGCTCTAACAGCAGCCTGGGAGCCTCCTTTAGGTTCGTACTCCCTAGCAACATCTACATACATTACCTGTAGTTCTGTAGCTCGTATTTTGTAGCGGTGAGTGTAGTGAGACCAGCGTCGGGGGGGAAGGTTCAGTGATATGTCCTACAGGGGGACCCTTGTATTTATACCTACATAATAACGTCACATCCGGCGTGAGTTTATAGTTGGGATAGTTGGTTGATTTTTTCTCTTAACGCTTAGCTAATTTTTTTGTTTGTCATTTGTTGAGTGATTTTATAATTTTCTTGTGTTGAAGGTGAGATAAAAATGTTATTGTTGTTTTTTATGTGAGAGAAGAGAGATGGTGGTGGTGTTGGAGGGCGTGGTGGTGGTGGTGGTGTTGGAGGGCGTGGTGGTGGTGGTGGTGTTGGAGGGTGGTGGTGAGTAAGCAAGCTCTATATAGTAACACTTGAAGACAATCTGCTTTCTCATTCGTGTAAATATATTCATACAATGTTTACTGTGTGTGTGCGTGTGTGTGTGTGTGTATCGACCTTTTCATCTGTTTATCTGTCCATAATATAGAAACACACAAATTAAGTACATCTTCAAGTACTATATACGTACACTGGATCCCCCAAATGTACTTAATTACGTACTATGTATCACTAATTATATATCTCAGTTAATATACCATGATACAGGAAAAGACTAGCAATGCGTTGGGCCAGAATTCTCAAATAGTAACACGAACTACATAAACGCCTAAGTACGCAACGAAGACGAGCGAACGAGCGTCTGGCGAAAAAAATAAAATCAATACGTGTTTATGGGATGGTAGAACGATAGGACAGGCCAGGTGCAGGTAATTACAGGTGTTGGCGGTATATTTATGATACAGGTCTTTAAATTCTGCCGCCTGCCCGCCCCCTGGACACCTGCGCGCGCATCTTGTTTACATTTTGAGCATGACGTCACAGGCCTCCCTCAACATGGCGAGGATTGAGGTGTGTTGCGTGAGCTGTTTTAAAGGTCAGGTTACAGGTTTATTGTGTGTGTGTGTGTTTGTGTGTGTGTGTGTGTGTGTAAACCTAGGTGTGTATGTATGCTAATAACACACCTACCCACCCACACACACCCACCCACACACACACACACACACACACAGCTCAACTCTTCATGTGTTCTCTGAGGTGTAACAGTCTCGATATTCAATCATTTATGGAGTCTATCAGGTCGCTGCTGCATATGTGTGTGACACATATGAAAGGGTGTGACACATATGAGAGGATGTGACACATATGAGGGATTGTAACACATTAAGCTACACACCTGGTCATTAAGATATACCCACACACCAGCCGTACCTTAATTAACACATCAACATTAAGGTAACTAAAACACCTGTCACTACACCTGTTCTTGTACTACTGTCTTAAATTAGTTTTTTTTATAGGGCGAGGGATAAACCTGGCCGTGCAGGAGGGGGTGGTGCTTTTCTATGCTGTGTCATTTCTATCTGGGATTTATTTCCTAATCACCCATTATTTGTCCAGCAGTGTCGTAATTTGAAGTTCCCCTCCTTCCTCCTCCCCTCTCCACCCCCTCCACATCCCTACCCCTCCTCCTCTCCACCCCACCTCATTTCCTCTCCCCATCCCCTCTCCTTCCCCTCCCCTCTTTCCTCCCCTCTCCTTCCCTTCCACCTCTCCTTCCCCCTTCCTCCCCTCTCCCAACATTCGTGTCCTTTGTGTACGTATACATTTGCTTAACTCTGTCTCTTCCCCCCCCCCCCTCACACTAGGACGTTTGAGTTACAGTCCGGCATCCCTCGTAACTCGACACTCAAATGTTACTCAGAATCTTGTCAGGATGTTCTCAGACTGTTCTAAATAAGTAAATACCTGGGTGAGAGTGTGTGCTGGTGGTGTGTGACTGGGTGGTGTGTGTGACCTAGGTGTGTGACTGGGTGGTGTGTGTGACTTCGTTGAGTGTGTGTGTGACTGTTAGTGTGTAGTGACTGGGTAGGAGTGTGCAGTGACTGGGTGGGTGGTGTGGCTGACTATGGGTGGTGTGTGACTGGGTGAGTGTGTAGTGACTGGGTGAGTGTGACTGGGTAGTGTGTGTGTGTGACTGGGTGAGGTGTGTGGTGACGCTGCAGGTGGAGATGTGTGTGACTGGGTGAGTGTGTGTGACTGGGTGAAGTGTAGTGTGTAGTGACTGGGTGAGTGACTGGGTGAGTGTTTGACTGGGTGAGTGTGTAGTGACTGGGTGAGTGTGTAGTAAGTGGGGCAGTTTTATGTACCACCAGTTAAGAGTAAACAGTTAACAGATTGGTACAAGGATCTGGCGCCTGAAGTTTCTTATGTGATGATGTGGCTGTGTGATGGTGTGGCTGTGATGGTGTGGCTGTGTGATGGTGTGGCTGTGTTGGTGTGGTTGTGTGATGGTGTGGCTGTGATGGTGTGGCTGTGTGTGGTGTGGTTGTGATGGTGTGGCTGTGATGGTGTGGCTGTGATGGTGTGGTTGTGATAGTGTGGCTGTGTGATGGTGTGGCTGTGATGGTGTGGCTGTGATGGTGTGGTTGTGATAGTGTGGCTGTGTGATGGTGTGGCTGTGATGGTGTGGCTGTGTGCTGGGTACTGACTGTCTGACTTCTTCTCTTTTGTTTACAAGAATCACGACAGATTTTCATTTGTTTTATTCCTCTCGCCTTAACACCCTAGATATTATCATCCTTATACCGACCTAACTCACCCCCTCGTTAGCCTCAACAACCTAACAACCATTTCCACTCTCAACAAACAGTTCCGACACGAAGAGAACGAGACATAAATCAAATCAGACAAGTCCCGGACGATACTTTGTGAGAAAAATAAAAAAATCATCTTTAAACGTAAACATTAAAATTCTCGTACATCTCGTCCTGGCGGTCACTGCGGTGTTGCCATCATCAGGGTCGAGATTTTAGGATACTCTAGTCAGCCAGGTCGGGGTTGGTTCCTTTACCCACGGAGGGAGGGTAGGGGAGGGTAAGGGCATGGAGGAGGAGGAGGAGGCATGGAGGGGTAGACAGACCAAGGATCTAGCTGGTCAGTCTTGTCTTAGTCGTGGTAGAGGGAGGAAGCAGTGCACAAGAGGACATTTAGCTGTTGTCAATGTGTTGGCGGCACCGAGTGAACATTTTGTCCTACAGTAACCAAGATAAATCAACACACGCGAGGGAGTGAGTGTCAACAGCTCTGGACCAGTGACTCCCTCCACCTATTGGTGAGTTACATAACCACAAACGTCTAAACTTTTGTTATTCTCTATTTTTACTCTGTTTTTACTTTCAATACACTGGAACTTGTGGAGTGTTGTGTGTGGCGCCAGAGGTACGATGTCTCTCTCTCTCTCTCTCTCTCTCTCTCTCTCTCTCTCTCTCACACGAGTTATCTCACCTGCGGCCACGAGTCTTACAGGTTCTCAGGTTAAGTTTTTTGTTATTTTTTTGCCTTACCTGTTGATGCAGAAATCATTTAACTGCCTTACTTAACCTAACCTAACCTAACCTAACCTAACCTAACCTAACCTAACCCAACCCACGACACAAGCATCACTCACCACAATAGCAACAGAATCCCCCTGAGACTTAACCTTAAAAAGACACAATCACTTAATTCTGACTCAAGGGAAAAATATGTCCGAATGTTTGAGTCTGATATATTTGTTTATTTTTTTGTGTATTTGATGTTTCTGGAATTTAATCTTTGTCCGTGTTCGAATGTGTGTGTGGAGTATGTATGTATCTATCTATCTATCTATCTACCTATCTCTCTATCTATCTATCTATCTATCTATCTATCTATCTATCTGTGTGTGTGTGTGTGTGTGTGTATAAACCATCTACACCCACCCCCCCCCCAGGTAGCATCAGGGTGCTTAAACTTCAGGTGAGATATTCAGCGAGAGAGAGACACTGTGGGGGGGGGGGGGTCAATCAGAACCGCCACCACCTCATCTTGGGGCGACACTTCAGGTGAGTTCAGATGTAAACACACACACACACGAAAGCTAAGGTTCTCCATTGTTTCCCTTTTTCCTGTGTGATTTTATCAAGATATATAAGAAAATAAGGAGTCTGCAATAGGCCGGTTGGGCTGTGCATGGCAGCTCTTGTCGAGAGTTACTACCACTCTCTATCATCCATGAATCTATCCAGCCTCCTTTTAAAACTTTTCAACGTTCCAGCACTTACTACAAAGTTGCTAAGTTTGTTCCACTCGCCCTCCACCCTATTTGTGAACCAGTTCCTTCCTATCTCCCTCCTAAACCTAAACTTATCCAACTTAAATCCGTTGCTACGAGTCCTATCCTGCTCGGATATTATAAGAACTTTATCTATATCGCCTTTATTGATTCCTTTCACCCACTTAAATACTTCTATCATATCTCCCCGCACTCTTCGTCTTTGCCGGGTATGCAAGTTTAGTTTTTTTAACCTGTCTTGATATGGAAGGTTTCTAAGTCCCGAAATAATTTTCGTCATTCTTCGCTGCACCGACTCCAGTGAATTGGTATCCATTCTATAATAAGGGCACCAGAACTGAGCAGCATAATCGAGGTGCGGCCTGACTAGCGCAAGGTATAATTGCAATATGACCTCCGTACTCTTATTACTTCTAGATATAAAACCTTATACTCTGTTTGCATTATTTCGAACATTTGTGCACTGTTTTTTAGGCCGAAGGTCCGGGCTTACAAGTACCCCTAAGTCTCTTTCACAAGTCGACTTCTCTAGGTTGATGTTGTTAAGGCTGTATACGTTTACAGTATTTGTTCTTCAAATATTAAGTACGCTACACTTGCTGGTGTTGAATTTCATTTGCTGACCACTCCTGCAGTTTATTTAAATCCTCCTGTAGTGCATTTGCATTCTGCCCTGAATTAATCTGCCGTCCTATTTTGGTGTCATCCGCAAACTTGCTTATGTCACTGCTGTATCCCAGTATCTAGATTGTTTATGAAGATTATGAACAAGAGTGGGCCCAGTACTGACCCCTGGGGAACCCCACTCGTTACACAGCCCCACTCAGATTTTAGACCATCTACGTTGACCCTCTGTGTTCTATCGGTGAGCCATGATTTTATCCAGTTTAAAATCATGAGCCATTCTGTACTATAAGACCTTGACTAATCAAGAGTCAGTCTTCTTGATTAGACATTGACCAATAATAAGCCCCCATTCTACAAGATTAGACATTGACCAATCATAAGCCCCATTCTACAAGATTAGACATTGACCAATCATAAGCCCCATTCTACAAGATTAGACATTGACCAATCATAAGTCCTCGTACTACAAGATTAGACCTCAGCCAATCACAAGCCCCCTTACTACAAAATTAGAATTTAACCAATCAGGAACCATTTTACATGATTAGACATTAACCAATCATAAACCACTCCATAAAGCAAGACCTTAACCCTGTATAACCAATCACTACCCGTCTTTACCAATGATTCTCTATTGTGGATAAAAGAAATAGTTACACTCCTTACCTGAACAAACTTATAGGACAGAATCAAACACCCCGGCACAGGTAACACCCCGGCACAGGTAACACCCCGGCACAGGTAACACCCCAGCACAACCCGGCACAGTGGGTAACACCGGCACACACCCCGGCACAGGTAACACCCTGCACAGGTAACACCCCCACAGGTAACACCCCCCGGCACAGGTAACACCCCGGCACAGGTAACACCCCGGCACAGGTAACACCCCGGCACAGGTAACACCCCGGCACAGGTAACACCCCGGCACAAGTAACCTCATTAGTGTCACTAATTATCCGTCATTGGAAAGGTAAATGAAGTAATTATCAGTTTTGTTAATATTTTCTTTGTTTTGTGTCAAAATTTGCGGCATCTGTCAACAATGATGAAATTTATGTATGTATGTATATGTATGTATGTATGTATGTATGTATGTATGTATGTACGTATTATTCTGGTTAGTATAATATTCAGGTCTTCTCCGAGTGTTTGTTAGTCTGTTGATGTACTGCCTCGTGATCACCCCTCCCTCTCCCCCCTTCCCCCCATCTCCCCCCTCTCCTTCCCCCTGTCTCCCTCCACTCATTTATGAGACCCTCCTTCCCATCTCACTCTCTCTCTCCTCACATTATCTCTCCATCGTCTCGCTTTCCCTACCAGTTCCTCTCTCACACAGTTCCCCCTCCTTTCTCCCGCCATCACTTTTCTCTCTCCCCTTCAACTCCCTCCTTCCTTCGCCTCCTTCCCCCCCTCTCCTCTCTCGTATCCTTACTTTTTCTCTCACCCATTTCCCTCACTCCTTCCCTCTGTCTCTCCCTCCTTCCCTTGTATCATAACTTTCCCCCATCCACTTCTCTCCCTCCCTTCCTCCCACCCACAGTCAGTCAGTCATCAGTCAGATGGCCTCACTTCTGTCACCTCATCACACATGTGGGTGAACAAGACCAGCCGGCCTGGCCTTTGATGGCCGTGGCCAGGTGGGGGGGTGATGGCCAGGTGGGGGTGATGGTCAGGTGGGGGTGATGGCCGGGTGGGGGGTGTTGGTGGGGATGATAGGTGGGGTGATGGGGTGGGAGTGATGGCCAGGTGGGGGGTGTTGGCCAGGTGGGGATGATGGGAAGGGGTGATGATCGGGGAGGGGGTGGGAAGGGATGAGGAGGGTAGGAGGTAGGAAGGAGAAGTGACACGTGTAGGAGGAGGGGGAGGGAGGGAGGGAGGGAGGAGGAGGGAGGAGGAGGAGACATAAACACCTTACAAAACCTACCTACATTTCCCTCCCCCTTTGTGCTCCTTCCCTCCTCCCTTCTACTCCTCCCCTCCCCCCCTTTCCTCTTTCACAGGTGTATTAATTACCTTATTTACCTGATGGCCAGCCACTAGAGGCGTACATGGAGGCCAGAGAAGGAGGCCAGGGAGGGAGGCCAGTTTTGTTCATGGTTCCATAGGTCTACCAGCCTCTGTGTGAAGAAGAATTTCCTTATGTTTATTCTGTAGGCTAACTTGGCCAGCTTGTGAGAGGTGAGGGACGGAGGGGTGGGTGGGGGGTGAGAGGGGTGGAGAAATGAGGGGTGAGGGGTGAAGTGAGAGGGATGAGAGGTGAGAGGGGTAGCAAGGTAGTGACGCAAATACTTGACAGGTGAGAGGCGTTGAGCTGTTACTTTATCTCTTCCTTCCCTCCCTCCCTCTCTCCCTCCCTCCCTCTCTCCGGCCTTGTCTTCCTCCCTTCACTATCCTTCTCTCTATCTGCCTCTCTATCTTCTCTCTCTCTCTCTCTCCTCCTATCCGCACGCCAGAATACCTCCTCCCCACCCTTCCCTCCCCTCCTTCCCCCCTCTTTCATCCCCCTCCTTCTTCTTCCTTCCCTTACTTCCTTCCCCTTACCCCCCCTCCTTCCCCCCCTCTCTTCCCCTCCTTCTTCCTTCCCCTTACTTCCTTCCCCTTACATCCCCTCCTCCTTCCTTCCCCTCCTTCTTCCTTCCCCCTCCATGTATGGTCATGTGGCCAATATTTGATGTAAGTGTGGCCCAGTGACTTGTGTGCTGAGTAACTCTATATGTTGGCGCTGAGAGAGGGACAGACAGACAGACAGAGGCGGAGGGAGGGAGAGAAACGGACGGAAGGAGGGAGAGACAGACAGACAGAGAGACAGAGAGACAGTGTGTGACCAAAACGCAGGCTAACTATTACTGGTTTGCTTGAAGCCATAGATAACCAACAAGGATTAAATTAACAACAACAACAACAAACTACTACTACTACTACTACTACTACTACTGCTGCTACTACGACTAATAATCATAATAATAATAATAATAATAATAATAATAATAATAATAATAATAATAATAATAATAATAAACCTCTCGTGACGTCACATTGTTTACATTCCTTCACCAAGCGTCGCCGTCCGCCATCTTGGTTTCACAAAATGGATTTCTGTATCAACTAGAGAAAGATTTTTGACCCGAATTATCCTCCAGTAGTCGCTACTGCACCTGCTGTAACTACACTCATCTAGAACTACCTCATTGCTGTACCTGCTGTAACTATTCAAGTGCTTTTCAGGCGGAAGAAAAGCTTACAGAGGAAAGTTTCATGAGATGAGTCTAAAAAATACGGGAACTTTTAGCTAAACTGTCCGTGTTGATGCACGTGTTAGTGTGTGTACGTGTTAGTGTGTGTACGTGTTGGTGAGTGTACGTGTTAGTGTGTGTACGTCTTGGGAGGGA